CTATCTAATTTGCTTTTATGTCATTTCGTGGCTTTCACTTTAATGTCTCCTTACAACCTTCAATGCCTCACAAAATGCCACTGAAGAAATCAGTCTCTTAAAATTAGACTAATTCAGCTGAACTTCTTGGAAAGCTCTTACACAGAATTTTCCAGGTACAAGCAAGGTAACAATTTTGGATCATTCCACAATGCAAACCAAAGCACAGTAAGGGGGTGGGAGGGAGAGGGCATTCTGCATTGCTGATCCAAATGAAAACATTACTGTAGACACACTCACCTTTGGATGCTACTTATTAGGAAAAAAACTGACAGCTTAAAACAAAGAGAAGTCTAACTTGTGAAAGTCTGGAATGGAATCTGAGAAGAATAACTGTGATATAAAATTAACCAATGAGATGGGGCAAAAATAATTCAAATTTGATGCAAGACCTTTACACTCTACTCTGAAACATAAATGTCTCACACCCATGTGGAGATGAATCACTTTACCGGAACTACATGAAACTGAAAGCAGAAGTGCATTTTTATGACAAACTAGAGTTAGACACGAAAGTTGTGGGTATTTTAGTCAGTAACGTTCAATAAATGCTTTAGCAGTGACAGATAAGCGTAAAACAAATGAACACAGATTCACTAAACTCCTGTCAAATCATAAGTGGAATCACAAATAGAGAGGAGGTACTTGGTAAGTCTGAACTATTTGAGTGTATTGGTTAACTGTTAAAAAAAATTCCATTACTCATAACACCAAGGCATTGCTGGTAAAGTGCAGCTATTACAGTGACAGTAATAGCTGTCACCTTAAGAATTTCCAGACATTTCCTTCAGTAAGGCTTCTTCATCCGTATCTAATCTAGTTAGAAAGTTCCTTTAGTATCCCCATTCATGAAAACACTTAAGCACATAAAACATCAAGGGACTTACATCACATCCTTGAAGAGGAGCACGTGCTTTTTGTACTTTCCTGAATGGAGGTATTAATTGCTGAATATTGTTTCTTCAGACGCTAAATCAAAATCACATCTCCATCCAGCAACAGTGACATGCTTTGTACCGGAGAGAAGGGTCACTTACACAATTTGACTCCAAGTATTTTTACTAGACCTCTCCATCTTCTCTCCCAACCCCACAAAAACATATTTGAGTGGATTTCCATCATATAATTAATTACTAGAAAGCTGTTAGATGGAAGCGCAATTATCAGTCTCGCTTTCATAATGAAAAGCGAGACTTTTCTTTCTTTATTTTATTTATTTTCTTTCTAAATTGAGAAAGATAAGTACTTTTCACTAGTTGTTTTTCTAGGTTACTTTTAGCTTATAATGAGCAATGGTAAAAACATTCTAAATACGTGTTAGATGATACTCCCAATTTTTCTAAAATGTGGCCTGATTCTTAAACATGGATCCATGTTTGCAGGATTAATCTCTTCCTTTAACTGGTTCATTCAATTGCAGAAGATTTTACAGAAAAGGTCTACCCATAGGTACCAGCAGTAAACCATGTGGTCATGACTATTAACATCTAAAACATTCTACTTAAAAACAAAGAGGCTCATGGTCACAAATTGTCAGATTCCTTGTTTAGGGACATTATTTTTGGCACCTACCAATGCAGAAAACACTTCATAAGAGCCAAATTAAAGTGGTTTCAGGATAGATGTGACACTATTCACTCTGACTACGTTGCAAAGCTTACAAATAGAAGTAGTCATAATTTGATTCAAAGGCCTGTGCAGCTATAGGGGAAGAGAGACAGTATGAACAGAATCTGGAACAAATAGTTGCTAAGCAGAGGCAGAGTTAGGCCTTTGGAAGGATGTGGCAAAAAATGAACTGAACATGTACAGAAATTAGGTTAAACCTTTCATCCTGTAGCCTGCACCCGAGAACAGCAGATTCCATTAGCACAGGTAAAGGTTTAAAGACTGAAATTGAGTACTGCTGTTGCTACAAGAAAAGATACTATCGTTTGCTATCATTCCCTGTAACATTTGCTATTTCTTGTAGTACACCAGTTGTGGAGAGGCGAGTTCCAATTATCTCACGCAAATATTTATGCATTAATTCAGAAGTGAGCTAACAAGGAAGAACAGTGACTGGGGAAATGTTCAGAGAGCATGTTGTTTAAAGTAATATAAAAAATTCATTTAAATCGCAAAGGCAGGGCATCCCACATTTGTAGACCAAACCATCTCTCAATTCACAACTTATGTGTATCCCTGAAATCTGCCTAAACTTTATTTTTGCTTGTTTTTCCTTAGGTTGTGGGACAGCTATTTGTTAAATATTTAAAATTGAACTGAAATCTCTTTGCCTTTTATGGAAGAGAAGAACTAGGCTTCAGTATCCGAATGCATAAGATACCAAGCAAAGGGAGTACCTTGAATATTTGGATTTTTTGATAATGTCTCACAGAACTACAGAAGATAAAAGCAGAAGTTTGTTCACAGGAAATAAGGTATCTATACTAGTTCAACAAATAGAGAAAGCATGTTAAAATATGTTGTTACTGATCAAAACTTCTTTCTCACTGGAAGGTGTGTTATACTTTATTATGCAAACAACACAAGCTAGTTATTTCTGATCAAGGAAGCTTTGTTCCTAGGTGGACACAGAATTAAGTAATTCATTGTACACATATGACATCATCACTTAAATATGAAGAAATGCTTCTAAGTAAGATAACAATTATTTACATTTAGTTCAGATTCTCCAAATACCTTTAGCCTATTTCCAGAAATAAGAATTTCAACCAAAGCTTTCAAAGTATCTACAAACTGTAGACAAGTCAGTGTAGTTTTGAATGTCCTATAAAATGTAACAGGTTTAGAGGGTTTTGTTGATTTGTGCGTAAAAACACGTTTTGCTCTAAAGCGTGTAACATCTGCTCATAGTTATTTTTTCACAACTTCCCATCTACGGACTTCAGGCCAGGTCTTAAAAATACCTGCCTAATTCCTATGTATGCACCCAAGGCCTTAGAGCTCAGTGCTACCCTGGTACTTTAGGGTCTCAGTTATTCACCCTGATAACATACAGTAACTTACAGCATCACAAGGAATTAATGGCCGGAGGGAAGGGGGGTGTTTAAAGTCCCAGATGTATTTTCTTAGGTCTTCAGTCCTGGCATATCTGGGCTACCTTACTCTGTAACCACACACTGCAAAGCTGACAACAGAAATGCTGGAATACAGACTGGAAATGTTATGAACTCACCTCTTCCTCTTTCCACCCCCATTTCCCCAACAGACTTAGGCTAGAAAAAAGCAACAAATATCCACAGTTATCCTTAGATCTAAGTTCACTAGAACAAAAACTATGTATTTGAATGCTGAATTCAGTAAAGAAAGGCCGCCTCTCTCTGTGAACTATACATATACTTTAAAGCTGAGCAAGTGCTTAAGTGCCTCAAAAGGTGTGGCTAGTGAGCAAAGCCGAATCAATACATTACCCTTGTTTGTATCTTACTGATCCGTGAAAAAGTAACTCTGTAATCCTTCACCTCAACAGCAGTGAACTGTAATTGTCATCCAGATTTTCTGCACATAACTTTTCTGTGAACAGATCAGCGTTCCCTTCCTTAAAAAGGATAGCATGTATTTACAACATGGAATCATACGTGACTTATTTTCGTAGTAAAAACTTATTTCAAAGCGGTACTGTAAAAAAGACTACTTTCCAGGCTAGGCTAGTTAGCTCTCTGACTTACAACTTCAATAATTTTGATGTCTGGCCTACATGCAAAATTTAACCAATGTGGCCACTTGATCCCATGATAGATAAGAACACATGTTGAAAATAACCATGTATTATAGATACTGACTTTTCTGGCAAAAACATGATTATAAGAGTTCAATAGTGCATACTTGATCTTCTGTATCTAATCTCTTTTTAATTATTTTTACTGTTTAGAAGTTATGAGTCATACTCTAGGACAGAAAAAAAAAAAAAACACAATAAGATAAGTATAAGCCAACGTTTAATATGTCTCCCTGCCAAAACATTTCTTACTTTCTGGTTTCTGAAATGAGTCTTCAACTCTGATTTCACACAGCTATTGACTTCCCAAGTTACCAAAGCAGAGACGTCATCTTTAACCTACAGTTGGACAACTGCGTTACCAGGCTCTGCTCCAGATAACCAGTTACGTATAAAGTCAAAATTTCTGAGCCGTTTCATTTGTCTGTTCTACAGAGAATTTTTATATCACTGTCAGAATTCTTGACAACAAAACTGTAGCTGCAGAGAAAAGAAAACCTCTCATCTTCACAGACCAGAACTATGTTCAGTAGACAAATGTAATTCTCTATTTTGAGAATAACCTACTATACACCTTGTTAAACTTATCTGCATAACAGTGATCAGGACATCCTGATAATATAAGCAAATATGTAAAATATAATGTATTTTGTGCAACTCCAAATAAGACATAACTTAAAGAATTTCTCAGCAGGATGGCTGCACTTTTAAAAGACCTTTTGAACAACAGATATAAAGCAAGCTAATACTCGCAGAAAATAGTTTTAGCTGCAGCATCACAGAGTACCCTAAGAAGAAAAAAAAAAAAAAGCAAGGTGATCTCCAACCTGAACAACACTCCTGCTGCTGGATCTACATTTCTCAATTTACTGTAAGAAACAGAAGGAGAGAAGCTTTACAGGGAAGAGCTTCTAAACCCAAACACAAAGCTGAGAAACAAAACAGGCACTTTTTAAGAAACATCATCTGCCTCTGAATGACTCCAGTTTTTCAGGTAGTGAAAACTGGTGCAGACATCAGCGCATCTTTTGCTTTTTTCCCCCCTTCTTGTCTGCTGTACATAAGAAATTCTGGTTAAAACGATAAAGATGTGGAAGTGAATGTGTTACAGAGTCACACTAAAGGGGGGGTGGGGGCGGGGAAAGAAGAGAGGGGTGAAAACCCACAAAACAAATCAGTAAATGCATCATTCAAATAAAAGGCGCAACAATTACAGAGAAACTTTAAAGCAGCTTACCTCGAGGGAGTGAGAGTAAAGAGCTGTTTTCAGTCGGAGCCCGCTCTGGCCCTTCAGGCCCTGGAGGAAGAGGTTCTCTCACTTGGGACATCTGCCAGCTCTCTCACCGAGTAATAAAGAGCCTGCACCCCCCTCCAACAAAACTAACACGCGACCCTGAAGGAACAAACAAATGAAAGGACTTTTTAATGTATTTTATGCAGAGAACTCGCGGCTCGGGGGCGAGGAGCAGAGGAGGGGCAGTCATAAAGCAGCGGCAACTTTGCGGCTGGGCGGCGGGAGC